CATGGTGTTTATTTGCCATTTCTTATGCATTAGGGTTTAAACATTCGGACACTTATTCGGACCCTCTTGCATGATGACAGATATGTAATTATGGTGTTTTTTTGCCATTGCTCATGCATTAGGGTTTAAACACTCAGACTTTGATTCATACCCTCTTGCATGAGGGCAATGTTGTAATAAGTTGTATGTCTTCCAACCCCACATCTTTCTCCCTTTTACTTACTTGCTTATGATGGTTAGTATAGGACATCACGTTTCATTGGCATTCTTATGCTTTGCATCCATTGTCTTCCATGCATCCAAGGTTCGGCTCATCACGCTAACCGGATATCAAATGTTCAAATTCATTACTTGAATACGTGCTTTATCGCATGTCTTGGATGGAATCATATGCCATGCTCATAACCGAGCCTGTAACATACATAATGTATGAGTTGCATTAGTCATATTACATTAATTAGGAACATGTATATTTTTCTAATTATTTTGTTTTGTTTTGTTTTGGCTCGGAGTACTAGGTGAGTAATTTTATGTTTTAGCATCTTCCATCAAATGTTTGTGTTGCCATGTCAAAGCATGAATACCATGAGGCTAACTGCTTAAATTATATAATTGTTTGAATGCCTGTGGATGAAAGCTAATTGCTTGAATTGGGATGGCTTGATTAAATGTCCATTTTAGCCCACTTTTTTGAGTAGCAAATTCACAAAACAATTTCAAAACAAAACATGAAATCAAGTGTTCCAAATCTTGCAAACTAGTCTATACCTTGTGTGCACATCACATAGTAAAAATAGCTAATAATTGGAACAAGAGCATATAATGTAAATAAAAAAACGCATCATGATTAGTAGAGGCCAATCTCTCATTAGGCGAGTGGGGTGCTCAATTCATGACCTTCCCCTCTCGTACCTAAGTTCCCAAGCCGAGACACTTTGGTGATGACAGACTAATGGCCTTTGGCACAAGTCTCAGGTTTTCTAAATTTTCTAAAATATTTAGGTGGCGACTCTGAAATCTGGCAAAGCAGTCCATTTTTGGCATTTGATTCAAGCATCGATTTTCCAAAAAGAATTGTCAGATTTGGACTCTTTTTGTGATTTCACTATTTCACATTGCACTTGTGAAATCAGATTCAGAACCACAAGTGGAGTCCGAACTATAGGGCTATTCGCCTTCCGAAAGGAGCGTGGAAATTCGGGCTACAAAGTGTCTATCCACCTCTACATGCTTGGTTCGGTCATGCTGAACTGGGTTGTCTGCTATGCTAATGGCTGCCTTGTTGTTACGGTAAAGCACCATAGGTTCCTGAAACACAATCTTAAGATCTTTAAGGATCATCTTTACCCAAAGAAGTTCGCATATGCCTTGTGACATGGCTCTAAACTCTGCTTCTATACTAGAACAGGCCACCACATGTTTTTTCTTACTTCTCCAAGTAATAAGATTTCCATCTAAAATGGTACAATAACCAGAAGTAGATCGTCTATCCATAATAGAACATGCCTAGTCTGCATCTATGTATGCCTCTAACCTTAAAACTTCACTTTTCTTGAACAATATACCTTTTCCGAGAGCTACCTTCAAATATCTCAGAATTTTGTATACAGCATCTAAATGAGATTTAAGTGGAGCATGCATAAATTGACTTACCACACTCACACCATATGCAATATCTGGTCGTGTGTGTGATAGGTAAATAAGTTTTCCCACCAACCGTTGATAGTTTCCTCTATGAACAAGTTGATCTTCATTAGCCTCTCCCAATCTGTGATTTTGCTTAATAGGAGTCTCGGCTGATTTACATCCAAGCATACCAATTTCGTTAAGCAAGTTTTGTATGTACTTCCTTTGAAAAATCACTAGCCTTTGTTTTTATCTTGCTACCTCAATTCCCAAAAAATACCGAAGTTTACCCAAATCCTTAATCTCAAATTCCCTAGCCAAGTAGGCTTTCAGTCCCATAACCTCTTCTTGATCATCTCCAATGACCACAATATTATCAACATAAACAATCAATGCAATAATCTTCCCTTAATGTGAATGTTTAATGAACAAAGTATGATCACCTTGACTTTGACGATAGTCTCTTTTCACCATAGCTCTCATGAATCTTCCAAACCAAGCCTGAGGAGATTGTTTAAGTTCATATGATGACTTTCTGAGCTTGCACACCTTGTTTGACCATGTCTGTTTTCCATACCAGGTTGGGATATCCGTAAATACTTCTTCCTCTAGGTTTCCGTGGAGGAAAGCGTTCTTTACATCAAACAGCAGTAATGGCTAGCCAAAGTTTGTTGCCAATGAGAAAATGATCCAGATAGTGTTCATCTTGGCCACAGTGCAAAAGTCTCCTGGTAATTGATCCCATATGTCTGGGTATACCATTTTGCCACTAATCGGGCCTTGTACCTTTCCAAAGTTCCATCGGCTTTGTACTTGATGGTGAAAATCCATTTGCACCCTACAATTTTTTTTTTCCTTTTGGCAATTCTATTATCTCCCAGATTTGATTTTTCTCCAAGGCTCTCATCTCCTCATTCATGGCTTCCCTCCATGGTTTCAATTTAATAGCTTCTTGGACACTATTGGGAATTTCATGGGAAAACATTTGGGTGACAAAAGCATGATACTAAGGTGAGAGATACTAAAAGGAAACAAATTGAGATATAGGGTGACGAGTGCAGGTTCTAACATCTTTCCTAATGGCAATAGGCAATTCCAAGTCTTCATGAGAATCAAAAATCTGATTTTCAATTTCATTAACTGTTTCAGGATCAATGCTTGGATCATGTGAGCTGATTTCGTGCTTCTTCCTTCTGGAATATACCTTGGTGATAGGTGTCTTGAGTCTATCGTCCTTGGTCTCTATAGACTCTATAGTGCTCAATGGATTCTGCTCGGGACTCACATTCAGTTTAGAAGAAGGCATATTTGAAATAGGAGGAATATCTAGATTAGACGAAGAAGGCAAATCAGAACTAGCACTTGGTATGGGACTAAATACCACACTCGGAATAGGCAAGGAATGATCAACCTCTAACCAGCTATCTTCTCCTAAACTCTCCCCTTGAAGATAGGTGTCCCCAAAGTAAGGTTGGTATTCTACAATGGTTACATCCAAAGTGGTGTATTTCCTTTTTGTTGGAGGGTGATAACACTTATAGCCCTTTTGAGTAGGAGAGTACCCCAAGAATACACATTTGATAGCCCTAGGATCAAGTTTACCCCGTAAATGATTATGAACATGCACGTAGCAAGTACATTAGCATAGTTTTGGAGATAAGGACCTAGCCCCTTGGAAATCTGGAAACAAGGATGAGAGTTTACTCACGGGAGATTAAAACTGAAGAACTCTTGATGGCATTCGGTTTATCAAGTATGTAGCAGTGAGTATTGTTTCCTCCTAATAGGTTTTAGGAACTTTCATTTGGAAAAGAAGGGACCTAGCAACTTCAAGAAGATGTCGGTTCTTTCTTTCTACAACTCCATTTTGTTAGGATGTATCAACACAAGATGAGTAGGATGCCATCATTTGCAAGATAAGCAATGAGATCTTGATTGAAGTATTCCTTGCCATTATCAGATCAAATTGTGTGTATTTTTGTCCCAAACTGAATGCTAATGAATTTGTGGAATAGAGGAAAAAAGTGGAAATTTCTGATTTGGACTTCATAAGATAGACCCAAGTAGTACGAGTGTAATCATCTATAAATGAGACAAACCACTGAGAACCAAAAATATTTGGAATACGGGAAGGACCCCAAACATCCGAATGTATTAAACTAAATAGAGATAACATTTGTGGAGTTTTCAAAGGAAAGGATACACGATGATGTTTGGCCAATTCACAAATTTCACAATGAAATTTCCCCACTTTATTATTTGTAAACAAGGAAGGAAACATTTTTTCCAACAAAGGAAAAGGAGGATGTCCTAACCGTCTATGCCAGGGCCAAACGTGATCATTTTTTTGTTGAAAAGTAGTAGAGACCAAGCCTTGAGACTCTTGACTCTTTTTCACTGAATCTGCTTCCAAGAAGTATAAGTCGTCCTTCAATTCAGCATGCCCAATCATCTTCCCCATAGCAGAGTCCTGAAAATTGCAACCAATAGAAGTAAATAAAACTGAATATTTTAAATCGTCAGTGAGTTTTCCTACAAACAGCAAATTATAGGATAAATTTGGAACATAGAGGACTGATTTTAGGCACAAAGTGGATGATAGTTGGACATTTCCTTTTCCGGCAATAGGGGACAAGGAACCATCGGCAACTTTGATTTTTTGTTTTCTTAAACATGGGATATATGTTGAAAAATGATTGAAGATGCTGGTCATGTGATTTAATGCACCAAAATCAACTATCCAGATACTAGAATTGACACTCATTGAGGTGATTAAGGCAAAGTTATTACCTGATTGGACGATGGAGCAAGAACTTGAAATTGGAGTCAAGTTTGTGGTTTGATTATCAACCTGATTTAGCAACTGTTTCAGCCTTTCAACCTCACTTTTGCTGAACCCATAGCTTTCTTATAGTCATCTCTAGCCACAATTTGATGAGCTTGTCCTGATTTTTCTACCTGACTTTCTCCTTTGCTGCCAATTCCCTTCAAGCCTTGTGGTTTTCCATACAATTTCCAGCACATCTCCCTGGTGTGGCACTGTTTGTGACAGTAATCACACCACATCTTCTCTCTATTCAGATTTTTTTTTCCTTCATTTATTCCCCAAGCAACTTTTGAAGTAGCCAAGGCCGAATTCTCATTGGTAGGCTTATCCAGCATCATCATCTACCTACTTGCTTCTCCTCGAATAATTGAGAAAACCTCATTTAGGGATGATAAATTCTGTCTCTAATCTGATCAAATTCACCATTTAACCCCCCGCAAGGAAATCAAATGTTTTTTCTTCTTCAAGTGCTTTTTGCAGCTCCGCAGCATCCATGCTACACACCATCTCAATCTTTTGATAATGGTCTAGTTCCAACCAAAGGCTCTTGATGATATTGTAGTATTCAGTGACACTGGAAGATCCTTGTTTTGTGTTATGAATCTTCATTTTCAGTTCATAGATATGAGTTTTCATACCTATATCAGAGTAAGTTTGTGCAGCAACTTCCCAAATGTCCATAGCCATTTTAAGGAACATGTAAGTCTTTCCAATTTCTGGTTGAATAGAGTGGAGTAGCCAGGAATTCTCCACATCTTAAGTCTTGAAATTGGGATCAGTTGGCTTTGGTGGAGGATCTGTGAGGTATTCTAACTTCCCTCTGCCTTTGAATGTCAACATTGTTGATTGTGACCATTCAAGGTAATTGGTCCCATTTAGTTTTGTTGAAGCAATTTGGAGGCTCAAATTCTCAGATGTTGAAAGCGCTTTTGGGGCTAAAGAAGATGCATCTGTAACCTCAGACATGATTCAATGAAGGAATCAGTGGACAGCAAGACAAAAACTAATCTAAAGAGGACACAGAAACATGTTTTTGAGGTTATGGAAGGGACTAATTATTTTTCTAAATCCGAGATGGCAAAAGACAACAACAATCAGAGAAATATAACAGAAATTTTGAATGGCAATGAAGGCCATAGTGAATCAGCTATGAAGGCTGAATAATCCTAGCAATGAAAGCTAGGTTAAGAGGAGGCTATGGCTAGGGTTAGGATTTCTAAACCTACTCTGATACCATGAAGGTTTGGAAAATAAAAATTCTTCTCATATATTTCAAACATAATCTGTACAGGGCTATAAGTAAAGTACAAGAAGTTGACTTCTAAGAATCTAAATTAAGGAAACAACCTAATTCTAGCCAACATAAATGAGTACAGCTACACAACCTTTAATAAGAAAAGAATAACAGGCTGTTATACAGGCTTTATACACCCTAAGAAGATCCATATTCCAATATTTACTTGGACTATGTTGCAATATTGCTGTCTATTTTAGCCCCTATCATCTCCCCATGGATAACTCATTTTGTTGCTTGGAGCCATTCCCTTAAACTCTATCTTGGAGAAAAGGGAAAGGCTCATTGGCTTTTATCTACTGTTACCCAGCCAGCTGCGACAGACCCTACACATGCTTAGTGGGATATCGATAACTACACTATATTGGGATGGATGTTCAATTCCATGGAAGATCGGATTTATCATATGTTCCTTTATTGTGATACAGTTCCGAGTTTGTGGCAAGCATTGTCACAAATGTATGCTTATGCCCACAATGATGCACGTATCTTCGAGCTTTATCAAGATATAGCTCGGGCCTCTCAATCCTCTCTTAGCCTTTCTATAGCTGAATTCTTTGGATATCTTCAAGCTCGTTGGGAGGCACTTACTTAATATGAGAATTTAATTTACCTTCTACCAGAAGCCGCCTCCCTTGTGTCCAAGAGACTTTCCCGACAACACACTTATCAGTTTCTCATGGATTTAAACTCTGAATTTAAATCTCTTCGAATTCAAATTCTAAACACATCACCAATGTCACGACCCAAACCCGTCCTTATAGGTTTAGCGTCGTAACCGGCTAGTAATCCTTGGATCACCAAAGGCCTCTTAACAGAAGGACATGTAATTAGGGGCTGCGAAAGCAAATATACAAAATAACATAGTCCATAAAGCTGTGCAGACATATATGGGACAGAAATTTGAAATCTTATAATATATATACATAGGATGTCATGTCTACATATGTCTTGCAACACCGTGCAAATATCATCAAAAGGGGTTTATCCCCAGAATACAGATAAACAAACAAGACAAAGCATAAATGTTCTTAACTTGATACACAAAATAACTCTTGACATGGTCCACAAAACTTGACTTCTATATACGGGAACCTCCCCAGGAGACACGGTGGATGGCTTGACAAAACAAAACTTAGGCCTTCAATTCTGGGCCTGATCACACGCCTGGTCACCTACATACATAAATAATTACAGTGAGCTGGAACCTAGTGAATAATAACAGAGTAAAGGGTTTAAATGAATAATGTCCATCGCAGAGTCAGAAATCATAATTTATATCAGGAACAGATTCTTATACATATTCAGATTTCGGATCAGAAACAGATTCATATACATGTTCATGTTCATATTCATATTCATATTCGTATTTTGCATAAGGTCATACGTAGTACACTCATTAGTGCTAACAGATCATATATAGAGCATTAAAGGTCATACTTATCAGTTCCATTAAGGAACCTCCGGTACCGAGAACTTGTAACATGCTTGAACCACGGTATTATTACCCCCGGGCAAGGGCTTTGTGCTCATAAACCACAGTATTGTTACCCCCGGGCAAGTGCCTTGTGCTAAGGATGTCGTGAATACATTTCAAAAACTTGGACAATCATTCATTGTATAGAATATAACATTGCATAAACAGATCTTAATTCATATCATTCAGAAAATAATTAAAATTAAATATAGCTTTACTAAGTTATTACTCACGAATGGCTTCACTTGCAGAACAGATTAAGCAGATAAACCAGACCGTCTATGGCGTGTGACCTATACAAACATAGAACAGATATGTATTGAATTACACACCCGGAATCATTAACTTAGTTGTTTCTTATCTTAGTGTGTTTCTAACTTTTGTCCTCATTATTTTGTCTTAATCTACGCCTAGGAATGCCTAGGATACAATGAGGATACTAAAATGCACTTGAACACATTTAACAAAACTTGTTGAAAATAGGGGTCCCGCTCGAGCGCAACTTCTTTCGCTCGAGTGGACATGCAAAATGTGAGTGGTCGCTCGAGCGCACCTTCTTTCACTGGAACAATCTATAAAAGTAATGGTTGCGTGATTTTCACGCTTGACGGATGCTAGATGGTCGCTCGAGCGTGAGCTCAGGTCCTCTCTCGAGCGACATCTCGAGCACAACTCTTGCCGCTCGAGCGGTTTGCAAAACATGTGAACCTCTAGGAGCATGCATTTTACACTCCAACCAACTTTTGGTCGCTCGAGCAGAAGCGTAAAAATAAAGGTGGTCGCTTGAGCGCAGGATCTATCGCTCGAGCAGAGAGGTCGAATTCTGGAATTTCCAAATTCACCTCCAAGCTTCCACACTCAAATCAAATACTTCAAAATGCATCCATTTGGGCCAAAAACTTGAGGAATCATATGTGTCCTTGGAAAACATTGGGAATTCTAAATCATTTCGCAAAATCAACGCCCAAAAGCTTGCCAATTGTGCAAAACAAAACTCAATTCTTAGAAAACATGACATGCATGTATTGCCTTGACTTCAAAACTTCCAAAACATAATCTAATGACACTAAATGACATGAAACTTGACAAATTCCCAAAACTAAGGTGAATTAGTAACATGCATGAGGAAATTCTTGGGAAAACAACTTCGAACTGCTATGAAATATGCATGCATGCAAGATATGGCTCAATTTCATCAATTCTAACTCAATCCTTGTATCATCCAACTTAATTTTCTCGAGTTCATGTCCTACACATCATAATTGTACAATCTAAGGATTGAATTCTTACCTAGGCTTGTCAATGTGAGAGCTAGAAGCTTGATTCTTGTGTTTCTAAGTCCAATTTCTTTAATTTCTAGCAAATTCCTCCCAATCTCCAGTGTTGATATCAAACTCTCACACTTGGTCTCTTTCTTCCTCTCTCTCACGTTGTATAGGCTCAAAGTGATGAGTAGAAAGTGACTCAAAGTGGTGTATAAGCCCTTTTTATAGGCTTGGTTAAGAAAATTAATTAACTCCAATAATCAACTGAGTGTTAATTATTCTAATTATTTTGCTCCAAATCAAATTTCAATTAAACCTGCCATAATGTTCTAAAAATTCCAACTAACACATATACCAAGTTAATTTCATGATCGGATGTCAATAAGGCCTTCAATTCGCAGAACAAATCAGAAACAGAAACAGATATTCCTACCGCGGACAAATATAAACACAAATAATGCAATGCACATGTAATTAACTCATGATTTCATCTTAATTACTTATTAGGAATAATTAATCATGGATTAGCGTTAATCATGGGTTGGGGTTATTACAACCCATGCCATCTCTTTATGAGGCTTTTGCCACTATTGACAGTGATGAGCGTTGTCAACGATTGGTTCAACCTAGTGTTCCTTCAATTCCTCCAGTTTTAGCAGATTAGATGGCTCTTCTACGAGTTCTGGTTCTCGGAGTTCCACCGGTTCTATTACTTGTCATTATTGTGGTGCGCCTGGACATGTCAAAGCCCGTTGCTTCAAACTTTATCTTGAGTTGAGGCAACTCCCTTCCCATCCTTGTGGTCCTACCCCACGTGGTTCTAACTCTGCTCACACTACTACGTTGGTGGACATTACTCTTGCTTCTAAGCCTCATAATGTCCCTAATCTACAACAGTTATAGACTCAGATTGGTTAGCTTCAGGCTCAACATGGGTCCCTCACCATTAGTTCTCTTAGCCCATCATTCTCTACTGCCACCCTTGCTACAGGTACTTATATTGCTTTCCATTTTGGTCTACTAGTCCTTCATGGATTCTGGAGCTAATGATCATATGACTAGTGAGTTTTCTTTTCTTTCCTCTCCTAAACCCACCACTACTGCCCAATCTGTGTGTCTTGCTAGTAGTTCTTGCTCTTCTGTCCAACATAAGGGTGTTGTGTCTTTATCCCTTGATATCACTTTATCTTCTATGTTACATGTTCCTAAGTTTGCTTATAATCTCTTATCTGTTAGCCATCTTTCCAAAACCTTTAACTGCACTATCATCTTCTTACCTTCTTCGTGTCTTTTACAGGACCTGAGTTTCAAGAGGATTTTTAGCAGGAGATATGAGCACGACGGGCTATACTACTTTGGGGATCCACCGGACCAACCTTCTTCGACTTTAGCCAGTTTTCAGGCATCTGTTTTGCCGCCTTCTATATCTTGTGTTTTTTCTGTTCGAACTTTAGAGTTATGGCATGTCTATCTCATTAATAGGACTCCTAGTCGTGTGTTACATGGCCTTACTCCCTTAAATATTCTTATGCCTAATACTACCCTTTTTCCTCTTTTGCCTCATGTTTTTGGGTGTACATGTTTTGTTCAGGACCAGCGTCTCACTCGCAGTAAGTTAGATGACAAGTCTATTCGTTGTATTTTTTTGGGGTATTTTTCTATGTCTAAAGGGTATAGATGTTTTAATCTTGTGTCTCGTCAGTTTCACCATACTATGGATGTTACTTTTTGTGAAGATATTCATTTTTTTAGTCTTAAGCCCCCGTTGCAAGTTTCCTCTTCAGCTCCTTCAAGTGTTCACCCGGTCCCCATTTTGGATGTGGTTACGGATGAGGTTGGCCCCCCCTCTCATCCTCCGCCTTCGCCTCTTTCCCCCCCTCCCTTGCAGGTATACTCCCGCCGCCCTCATGCTTAGCCCCCTTCTGCCACCTCTTCAGATCTTAGGTTAGGTAATTCTTTCCCTTTACATACCTCTCATTCCCTTCCTCGTCGTAATCCTCCTTGGGATCGACATCACCTTGACCGTTAGGGTTATCTATGTAGAACTTATCATCCCATTTCCCACTATCTCTCATATGATAGGGTTTCAGACTCATATCATTCTTTCCTTGGCAAGCTTGAGTCCAAGTTTATTCCTCGGTCTGTGTCAGAGGCCCTTCAGAATCCAAAATGAATAGCGGCCACGCAGACTGAAATGGCAACTTTAGAATAGAATCATACTTGGGATTTGGTTCCTTTACCTTCTAGGGAGAGTACCGTGGGTTGCAAATGGGTCTTTGTTATTAAGTACCTACATGATGGCTCCATTGATCGTTATAAGCCCCACTTAGTGGCCAAGGGCTTCACTCAAGTTCCTGACAAGGATTTTGGTGCTACCTTTGGCCCAATTGCCAAGCTTACATCTGTTCGTCTACTCATCTCCCTTGTAGCATCCCATTCTTAACCCCTTTATCAACTTGATGTCAATAATGCATTTCTACATAGGGATCTTCTTGAGACGATTTATATGACCCCTTCTCCTGGTTTTCGAGCTGAGGGGGAGTATTCAGGAAAAGTATGTCAACTGTGCAAGTCTTTGTATGGCTTGAAGCATTCTCTACGAGCTTGATTTGGTCGTTTCAGCACAGTCATCATCTCCATAGGCTTTGTTTAGTGCCATTCAAACCATACGTGCTTCATCCGTTGTAATTCTTTGAGTCAGTGTTGTTAGAATAAGAAATAAGTAATTTTATTTTATTCTTATTTATTCCCTTAATTGGTGTACTGGGCTGGCCCATATATTATGTCTTATGGCACTCCTGTAATTACTCAGTATTATTAATATAAAAAAGAATAAAGTCTAACTCATTCCTTATCACTTTTTCTTCTCTAAAATCTACATGGTATCAGAGCCACTCAGGCCTTAGCCACCCTATTCCAGCCATGCACAGGAGCCACTCAGCCTCTCTCTTCTCTAGTAGCCTTTAGGCTAACCAACATCCTTCACCCAGCCTCTCTTCTTCACCCAGGTCTCTCGAAACCATCTACCCAGGCCTCTGCAGCCCCCTTTAGGCTTCTATATCTTTGAGAGCGTTTAAAGCAGCAACTGCATCGGACATAAATTAAGTTTACCAGTAATTTTTACGAGGATTAAGGAAAAACCAATGCATGGAACATGAGAACCCAAAAGTGGCCAGTAACCCAAAAACAAAAGGAACAGCTAAAAGTACTTGTCTTCTCATATTTTGTTTGACTAAGTATTTTCTAGTTTAAGGTACTATCTTGGTGATTTCTGAATAATCAAAACCATTTGATACTTCAATTAAAGACCGCAAACATCCAAAGCTTGCTTCTGAGTGACCACAAAATAATATGTAGACTGAGAACTTGTTGCTAAACTAGATAAACATGGTAGTTGATCTAAAAATTTTAGCTTTGGAAAGCAGTTAACACAGCAAATATGCAATTATGTATTCTAGAGATTTGATCTACAGCTTTATATTGTGGAAATTTTTCCTGGGAAAGTTAGATAACTCTTGACAAAATTGCTTCCTAGAAGTAAGTAAATTACAAAGATCTAGTCCTTTGGATGCTGAAAGATTTATGGGAAAACCGTATTCAAACTTTGAATCTCAAATCTACTGTCGTTTGGAATCTCAGAAAAGACATCCACTAGTGAAAATCACTCAGAAACAACAAAAGACAAAAAAAAAAAAAGGATATATGTATACATATATATATATATATGTATATATATATTCATTTTCTTTCTTCTCCTTTTATCAGCAATCAACCAGAGAGTAAATAAGGTATAGTGTAAAGAGAAAGAAACTAGAAAGAGGTCTAGCATATGCCATTGTAAATTCAGTGCACGAATTATTTATGTGCTTCTGGAGGATGCATTATCTAACAAGCAAGGTTGTACTCTTGTTTGAATTAATCAAGGCACAGAAAAATTAAGAACATATATAACTAGTGACATCAATAACCTAAAAACTTGGACACAAGAATTGAACTTACAGTCTAGATAATTCTGTGTTGCTGGAAGTAAAATTTGGACAGAAATAACCAGCAAACAGACCTAAATTCTTGATCCCATTATTCAAGAAAGAACCATATAGACTCTTGAACTAATTGAATTACAATAAACTACTTTGAAACCACTCTTCTTTCATTCAATTCTGCTGGTCATTATTAGAACTCTTCAAGAGAGTTTTTTCCATGGTACCCATATACTCTCATAATCTCTCATTATATGTATTCAACATGCACATGGCTACAGTACAATAGCATGCCACTCATCCTCAAATTTTCCAACTAAATATATCTCATATATCCCAAAAACACTATGAAAGCTGGCCTATACACCATGACCTATTTTTTACCATCTAAGAAAAAAATGAAAGGACGTAACAAGAGCCAGGTGGGCTTATTGGTTTAATTGTTGGCTCCAAAGTCAACAACATTAACTAATTTTAAATATCAACATTCAGTGAGAGGAATCCACTAGTCTTGGTAGGCTTTCAAGATATGAGTCTTTGTCAAGAAGATGAAAGATTTAAGGCATTATTTGCAATTCACTGGGCCATGTATGCACAAGTTGATTGTTGATTAGATTAGTCATTAAGCCCTTCTTTTAAGGAATTTATTTCCAAGGAATTATTTTCCTCTTCGATCATTTTCTTCGAAGCATTCAAACAAGTTGCCAACTGTGCATTCTGATAATCACAATATGCCAAAGACATTTTAAGGGATCGTAAATGTAAAGTGAGCAAATGAGAGGTGAAGTGTATATATCAAGATAGTTATATAGACATAATATATCTCTTAAACCATATATTATATACCAATTTGCATCATTTTTCGTATTGATTAAATACTTCAATTCTTCTTCTTCTTGAACATATTTGTATTGTTACTTACATTAACTTTTTGTATTGATTACATGCTCCAGTAATTTTCTTTTTGACTTAGAAGAAGCCCCAAACTTTGGCCTCTCTGGCAAATTGGCAATATGTCACAAAATCCACCAGCTACGTGGTCTGTAGTTTCAATAATATCTCAGTAACCATAAAGATGCATACCTTCTCACCGATATCTCAGTAACTACAAATGTGCAGCTTCAACTTTATCACCTTCTCACCGATATCTCAGTAACTACAAATGTGCAGCTTCAACTTTATCACCTTCTCACCGAATGTAATTAAGCAATTTTAATTAGTTTCAAATCCATTCTCTCTTATAAAGGTCTTTCAATGATTGTCTACATTCTGCCACTTCTCTCCCAAAACAACATAAAAGACAAAACAATAATTTAGCATCACATTCAGTATTACATTGGTTAGCGCCATTCTCCTTTTCCATAATCAATCCAGTTCTTGAACAATTGCATCACAACAAACATTTCAGTAATACTACGCACGTAGAATAACTACCCCAAAAATGAAATGTGTTGATAAGACTTATTCTCGGTGTGCCCACACCACTCCAAGTTTGAATTTACATCGTACACTTTATTTTCTAGACACAAACTGTGTTTGGATCTTGAATTTGAATAGAAATTTGTTAAGTAATGCAAATGAAGTGAAAAATATAAATGAAATATAAGTTAATTTTATTTCACATTTCCCTCCCATATTCTTTTCCCTCTGCCAAAAAACTTCGACTTTTGGAAAGAGCTATAAAATATACATTTCAACCAAGAAAACCCATAAATTGCTAGAATTTCAGCACTATGTAAAACAGAGGAAAATAAATATTTTTTAAAAAAAAATTAAATGGAGTAAAAGCTCCATAATTAGGGATCAAAATTGAGAACATAGGGACAATAAGATAATTAGGGAAAAACTCTAATGATGAAGAGCACTATCATCATATAGGTTTTACAATGAGGAAAAAATTAACCCCAGGAAAAATAAAATAAAATTCGAAGACAAGACCCATTTACAAAATATTTGAAATATGTGAGAATGTTCAAATAGAGATTGAAACAGACCTTGGAACCATGAGAGTGATACCTCCAAGACTGGCGAAGCTGATCCACGTACTTACCTGTCTAGTCACGTTAAAGACAACCAGATTGCTACCTCTGCCTGTATCCATTTATTTCACTTGGCTATCACCCCCTTGTCAAAGGCAAACTCATAATTTTTTTTTTTTTTATTTTAATTTTTCACAACTCCAATTAAAGAAATCCAATATTAGATTTTTTTTTTTTTTTTTGAACTGGAATATTAGATCATAAATGTAATTCTCAAAGGGGCAAAACAAAACCCTGGCTCCAACCAGTTCCCCTAGCTTTGACCTAGAAATCCAATATTTGTTGAGAGAATTGTCAAGGAAAAAGTAAATAGAAAGAGAAGGATAGGGAATTGATACAATTCAAATTTCATGCTATGTTTAACTGAGAAATAGAAAAACAAAAGATCATATTTGATTAGAAGATTTGATAAGTGAAAATAGAAAGACAAAAAAGAAAGAATAAAATTTAAATTTTAAGTTATGTTTGATTGAGTTGAGAAATAGAGAAATAATAATAAATAAATAAATAAATAAGTGAATCTAAAATATAAAAAGTGATATTATATTTTCTTCTTACTTTTTTTTCTTTTGTATTTTCTATTATAACTAAACAAAAAGTAGGATTGCATTTTCTTTTCTCTTTCTATTTCTCTTATCAAATTCTCTAACTAAACATAAGTTAAGTGAACTTAAAAGACAAAAAGTGGTATTGAATTTGCCTTTCACTTTTTTTTTTCCCCCATGTTTTTCATTATTACTAAACAAAAAGTGTGATTACATCTACTTTTTCATTTTCTTTTCTCTCATCAAATCTTCTAACTAAATACAACCTTACTCTACTCTTACGCTATGTTTGGATTGAGTGATTTGGAGAGAAAAGAAAAGAAATGGAGAGATATGTATTTCTCTTACTTGTTTGGATAACCTAAGTGGAGAGAAATGGGAAGAAATTGAGAGAAACTCATTTCTCTTATGAGCCTCATTTTCAATCTTCCCAAAAGTGGAGAGATTGGGAGAGAAAAGAAACCACTATTTTCATAATACCAATTCTGTCCCTATAAAAATAAAATAATAAAATGATTGAAAATAAAAAAAAAAGTTATTTTAGTAATATAACATAAAATAATTTCTTTTCTTTTCTTTTCTGTTAATGAAATCTAACCAAACAAGAATAAGAGAAATCACAATCATTTTTTTTCTTTTATTTATTCCTTATCCAAACAAAAATGAGAGAAATCACAATTATTTCTTTTCTTTTCTCTCAAAACTTAAGTAATCATTTCTTTTATTTTCTCTCCTAGGTTCCCAAATATAGTGTTATTTTTTTTTTTGATCGGCAAAGAAAAATTCCATTAAAAATATGAAATTTAAAGGTACAAGGAGATAAAACGCATTGAGAGAGATTCGAAGAGTAAATACTCACACTCCTACTACTGCTACTCGCGTTCAAATAACAAACCTCTTCGCCTCACGATTTTATATTTTAAAATACAACTAGAAAATAAAAAAAGAAAAAAACAACCACACTCTCTTGAACGCGAGTAGTGTTATTGTTGGTGGGTAAAGAGGTTAAGATAGAGGGAATGAAAGGGTAGTGGGCATTGAGAGGGGGTGAAAGAGGATGGGGGTATAGGGAGGAAAGCGGAATCATGGGTGTCAAGAAAGAAAAATGAAGGCAATTGATGATGGGGAAGGAGAGGGGATAGGGTGCAGGGGAAATGAGAGGGGCAATGTCCGGTGAGAGTAAAGGGGAGGGAGTTGATGCCATTAACACTTCATTTGAATTGAGAGATGAGAAAAGAAAATAAATGAGTAATTTTAAATTCTCAAGAAATCTCACCGCTTTTAGTGAGAAACAATTTTTGTGTGATTTAGCTTTTTCCACCATTTCTCTTCATTTTTCACCATTACTTACCTTATTAATCATCCAAATAAGTGATGAGAAATTCTCTCCATTTCTTTTCTTTTCTTTTCTCAACAAACCCCTCAATCCAAACAGAGTGTAATGGAAGGGGAAGCAACAACAGAGGTTGCCGGGTAAGATGGATGGGGTAGATTTGGGATTTGAATAGGGTTGGGATTAATTGAGGTGCTCAAAAAAAAAAAAAATTCAATTTTCAAAGTAGAATGACTTAAGAAAGTGGGGTGTGCAATAAATTTTTTGAAGTGCATTTAGAGGAATCGCAAATGGGTGTGAATTGCAAAAAATGATTTTACTTTTTTCACCATACAAAACATTTTTGCTACACTTTTGTTTTTTTTGCTCAGAAGGAAACCAACCGTCCTTTAAAATTTTAAAAAGAAAGATTTGGAGAAAATTTTCTTCAATTTTTTTTATAATGGGTGAAGAAAATTCCAATAAATTTTAATGGAAAAACTGCTTGATTCAATTTTTTTGGAATTTAAAAGATATATATTCAGCTAATTTAAAATATATTCAGCATTTGCCTTAAAATAATACTTGAGTCAAGATGGGTATAGTGTAGGCTGTATAATGGTTTTGTTAAATTAATGTTGTTGTGGTTGTGTTTGGAAAAAAGGTTGTGATAAAAAAGGGGGATAGTAAAATTTTACTGTCTGAACATTTTTTGAGGTGGGTATACTGTCTAAACATACTTAACAGTAAAATAAAATTTCATTTTTAGCCTCAAAATTAAAATTTCACCTTTTGAAAATAATGAATACAGTAAAATTTTACTTTTTGAAAACCGCCAACACAGTTAAATTTTAATTTTTTTTGTTTAAGAATTTTATATTCAATATCGATTTTATTTGATAGATCTCAACTAAACAACAAAAATTTAATATTTTTTTGTTTAAGAATTTTATATTCAATATTGATTTTATTTGATAAATCTAAACTAAATAATTTTAAAAATACTATTTTTTATTAAACATTAAATCAAAAGGATTTTGAAGTTTTGAAATAAGTATAGTTTGGTTAATGAGGTTGTTTTGGTCAAAAGTTATTCTCTACAATCACTTTAGTTTGGAATTTTTTTCTTTTTTTTAATAAGAGGTTGTTTGAGAACTACTACAATAGCATACTTTTTAAATTTTTTATAGATCGCATCACCTCTCTACTTTTTTATATGTCTTTTCCTAAAAAATCAAAAAATATATTTATTTAGCCCTTCCAAACAACTTTTAAGTCTAGGAATTCATACTTATTCACTTTGGTTTTTTTTTTTTTTTTTTTTTTTTTAAATCACTTTCTGCTCTCTTTTGACCACATTTAGTCATTTTATATTAAAGAGTTTTGAATCCCTATAGGTATGCCCACAAAAAAAGCACTTAATCGACAATTGGAGTAGAAAAATAGGTGAAGCCCATGAAGCCTGCGCCTTGCGCCTCGAAAAAAAGCCCTCGCCTCAGTGTCTAAGCTGCGCCTCGCGTATTACGCCTCGCCTCGACCTGTTCGAAGCGCAAGGTTGCGCCTCGCGCTTAGGCGCGCGCGGTTTTTTTTTTTTTTTTTCAAATGGTGGTTGTATGATAGAAATTAAATTTGTGTGCCAACAGAGGTTGGTTGAATTGGTAAGGATCAAACTCTTCGCCTTCAAGGCTTAGGTTCAATTCCTACTGCCGACAATCCTCTTTGGTGGGTGATATATAACTTTAATGTAAGTCTTTGTTGAGGCATGCGACTTGCCCTGGCCCTGGACTAGGGTAGCCTCCTGTACGAGCACGAAATAATCTTCTCGTATAATCCTGTTGATCAAGTCCACACTCCTCCAAACGTCGTCGCTTTACTCCCTAAAAACACAAATGTGAGCTAGCCGGCGGGTGTGTGCCGGATACCTCTCCGATACCTAAGTCAGCAAAATGGACAAATAGACAAAAGTTCCGTGTCTTCGAGAATCAAAGTTGTGTTACCTCTCCATAGGTAATGTTATGAGCTTTTATAGGTTCCGCGTGGCACAATCCTAGTTGGACTCTTATTTCTCCATGCAGAGTCCTCCTAGGAATCACACTCATGAAGGGTAATGTTTATCCTTCAACACCCCCCTCACTGCTTAAACCAAGTGAGATAGTTTTACCTCGGTTGGATGTCAATATGACCGAGCTAACATGACCATGCTAAAACCGCAGACTAGACCGAGCTCCAACTAGCTCAGTTCTTCCTTTCACTACGTGCGCCTCGGTTTGACATACTCCAACTGGGCTGTTTATTTAATATTGAGCTAACCAAGCTTGGTGCTCCAATGCACAGCACCAAGCTAGCTAGGTTCTCGTGCAGTTGTACCTCGATTACCTGTTGAAACCATGCTATCCATAGCGTGCCCAGACCGAGCTATTTCAACAGCAAGGTCCTGAGTAAAGGCCCACAATACCTCGGTTCAGTTTGGTTTGACCGAGCTAACTGTCGTCGCTCTGACCATGCCAACCGAGCTAACTACAAAGCTCTTTCGGACCGGGCTATCTGCAAGGCTCCTCTGGACCGGACTAATTACAAGGCCCTTTTACTCAGCCCTTCTTACTGTGGTCCACAGAATGGCCCATTACCCAGCTCGGCCCAATTTACATATAAATTACCCTCTCAATTGCACCTTAATTCCATCTGCGCAGCATAATAGGGATTACCTGTTAGCAGCCAAGCTAAGAAAAGCTTTAGCCTTCCAACCGAGCTAAAAAACTTTAGCCTTCCAACCGAGCAAAATTCATACCGTGCTATCAATCTGTCCAGTCAAAACGTTTCTTCAATCGTTGTAACTGAATCGCTTCTTATCCCAAGAACACGTGGCACACTATCATTAGCCCAATGCAGCTGTCACGCCGTCTTCGTATTTCGCGTGATTTGAACAGTCCCGCCCAATTTCTCCTTCTTCACACAAAAATCACTCATTTTGAATCTATCATGTCTACTATTCATCATTTTCTCTCTTTCTGAGCTTCTTCTCCCTTGTTCTCTTGCAACTGTGGAGCTCGTGTTCTTGCTGGGATCTTTTTCACCTTTGGTCCTTCCATTTTCAACTGGTAAGTAACTCAAATCTGTTTCCTGTTTGCTGATATCGTCCATGTTTATATAGCATGCTTAGTTATATGTTTTTCAAAGCACGTTCCACTTTTGCTTCCATTTTTTCTGTGAAAAACCATGTAATAGAACCACTTGTACTCACGAATAATCTGAAGAATGATGTATTTGATCCAAAATCACACACCAACCAAACTAGGAAGTTGTTTGCATTAGGTGCGAACCCAGCCAAACTAAACAACCGAACTAACACTTCATGAACACTTGTTGTTTCAAGTAGGTCTAAGAACTTTTTGCTTTAATTAGCCGAGCTAGCGAATTAGATTAGGTTTGCATAATGCCGCACTAGAAAGCCACAATCCCCGACCGAGCTAAAACTTGAGGCTAAACCAGCTTCCTTAGTAA